CGAGTCTGCGGAGGCCATTTTTCCTGAGTCTCTTACTATTGCCACCTTAGGCTCAGAGAGCAAACAATTACAAAGGCCACAATTGGCTCCCCTTCAAAAAACCTCACCTTCAACACCACACTCTGATTGGCCACTTCACATAGCAAATCGGTGAGCTTAGAAGCCCTCAGATTTGCATATCTGGGTACCTCATGATTGGTCCACAAAGCAACCAATCATAACCTACCTTTTGCTATCCTTCATTCAACCAATCACGGCCCACCAATGTGTATATAAGCACGATCTCTGGCCCATAATCGATAGACGACCAGGACGACAACGACTGAAGAGCCTGAAGAGCTGAAACACCGCAGTCTCCAGATGACACTGAAGATCCTGAAGAGCTGACACTGCATTGTCTCCAGACGACTTGGGCGACCCTGAGGAGTTGTAACACTACATCGTCTCCGGACGACCCTGAAGAGCTGTGACACCGTGTTGTCTCCGTGCTGCTCACGGACACTGCGTCGTCTCTGTGCTGTACCGTGCTGCCCACAATAAACGGATGACACTGTCGTCTCTGTGTTGTAACACTACGCCGCTTGTCCCGGATCTCACTCCTTCACTCAGGAAACCTGTTCGCTGTTCCCCACCACCACCCCGGTCGGGACAAACTACCACACCACCTGTCGGCCTGAGTATTTCACTGCTTTTCATGGCTGTGCAACTTTCCACTGTGTGATCGATCACATTTTGTTTATCCATTCTTTTATGGGTGCATTTGGACAGTTGCCATGATTTCACTGATATGAATAATGCTTTCACTTTTTTCGTTTGTTTGGTTTTTGCTATGGGGTACCTGTGCTCCTGAGAGAGAGAGAGAAAGAAAGAAAGCCCCACCCCGTGGAGATAACCATGCTACAAAACCTTCTCCTTTCGGAATTTTGAGCCCACACACAGAAGCACCCCGTGTTTTTCAAGCTGCCAGGTCTGGGACTGAAACCGCACAGTTGCCCACGTGGGATCTGGCCACCCCAGTCATCACCCCCCTTGCTTGCCCTGAATAATGTTTTTATGAACTTTTGTGTACCTATATATTTTCTTCCTTTTTCTACACGCTGAGTGTGTGCTCACCAGAGATGGAGAGAAGAAGTAAGAAATCCCTCCCTGGGGGGGGATGGCCACAAGGCAGACCCTTCTCTTCTATTCTCCCCTCAGGATTTTGTCACGTCCACACATGTGCCTGACATTTTTCAAGCCACCAGGTCTAGGACTTGAACCACAGAGTCAGCCGTGTGAGATCCAGTGCCTCAACCACATCACCAGTTGGCCCAGGTGCACCTCATATTTTCATTTTCTTTGGGGATATAGCCGGGAGTGAGATAACTGGGTCCCTCCCCGTCCTCACCGATAGTCACTACAAGGTTGAGTCCAAGTGCATCGTTTTTATTCCGTTATCCTGGTGGGCATAAAGTGGATCTCGTGGCTTTTGTTTGCATTTCTCAGAGGACTAGTGATGATGAACATCTTTTCATGTGCTTATCACACATTTTTTAAAAAACGGAATTATTTAATTTTACTTACTCAATCACTTATTTTAATTTGACCAGAGAGAGAGAGAGAGAGAAAGGGAAAGTGAGAAAGCAAGCTACCAGGTCCAGGACTCAAACCACAGTCAGCCATGTGGGAGTGTCCAGCACCTTAACCACCATGCCACCTGCTGGTCCCCTTATCACACATTTATAATCTTCTCTGCAGAAATGTCTACTCAAATCCTTTTCTCATTTTTTTTTTTAAATTTCCCACCGAGTGCTAGAGAGAAAGAGAGAGAGAGAGAGGGAGAAAGTGGGAATGCACCCGTGGGGATGGTCATGCTGCAATCCCACTCCTCTGTCTCTCCCTCCTTTCTGAATTTTAGACATGCACGTATGTGTTTCAAGCGATTGGGTTCAAGACTTGAACTGTGTGGTGGGCTATGTGGGCTCTAGCTGCCTTAATCACCAGGCCATAGGCTGGCTCTCTGTCCATTTCTAAATTGTGTCATTCATCTTTTTATTGTTGAGCTAGCTGGAAGAGTTATTTATATATTCTGAATACTAGAAAATTGTCAGACATGGTTTGCAAATATTTCTCCCATTATGTAGACTGTCTTCTTACTTTCTTTAGGGTGTCTTTAAAAAAATAATTGTTTTATATAACTATTTATTTACTTATTTATTTACTTTCATTTGACCAGAGGACAGAATGAGAGAGAGAGAGAAAGTGAGAAAACAAGCCTTCAGGTCCGAGACTCAAACCACGGTCAGCAATGTGGGAGTCCAGCACCCTTAACTACCACACCACCTGCCGGCCCCAGGGTGTCTTTTTTAAATGATTATTTTTCAATTTACTATAGGGTGTGTGTGCTTACCAGGGAGAGACAAGGGAGAGAAAGTGAGAAAGCGCTCCCCAAGGGGGATATCCATGCTGTGATTCCTTTCCTTCCACTCTCTTCTCAGGATTTTGGGCACACGCACATGTCTGGTGTTTTGTTTTGTTTTTGAGAGGTTTTTGCTATAGGGTGCGTGCACTCACCAGACAGACAGAGGGAGACAGAGAGATAGAAAGCAAGAAGTCGCCCCCCCGGGGGGGGGATGGCCACGCCGCAATCCCTTCTCCTCCATTCTCCTCTCGGGATCTTGGGCACACACACAAGCACCCGGCGTGAGTTTAAGCCACCAGATCCAGGACTCGAACCACGGTTGACTATGTGGGAGTTCAGCGACATAGCCATTACACTAACTACTGGTCCCCCTGGTGTGTTTTTCAAGCTTGATGTGTTTTTTAAGCTGCCAGTTCCGGGACTTGAACCAAGCACCAACCATCTAGCTGCCTTAACCTCCATGCCATCTGCTGGCTGATTTAAGTTCTTTTTTTTTTTTTTTGGAGAGATTTTCACTGTAGGGCACGCGCGCTCGCCAGACAGACAGAGAGAGACATAGAGACAGAAAGCGAGAAATCATCCCCCAGGGGGGATGGTCACGCCGCAATCCCTTCTCCTCCATTCTCCTCTCGGGATCTTGGGCACGCACGCACACGCGCCCGGCGTGAGCTTTAAGCCACCGGGTCCGGGACAAGAACTGCGGTCGACTACATGGGAGTCCAGCGATATAGCCATTACGCCAACTGCTGGTTCCCTGATTTAAGTTCTTTTGAAGCACAGAAATTTTTAATTAAGATGAAGTTGAGTCTATTTTTTTTTTTCCCTCTGGTGTTTGTACATTTGGAGTCATGGCTAAGAAACTATGGCTTAATCCAAAGGCATGAATTTACATACCTAAGTTTTCTTTCCCGAGTTTTACAGGTTTAACTCTTACATGTAGGTACTTGGTCTACTTTTGAGTTAATTTTGGCGTATGATATGAGCTAATAACCCAACTCAATTTTTTGGCATGTGTGGTTATCTAGTTACCCCAACACCTTTTGTTGAAAAGCCTATTCTAGGGACCAGCAGATGGCTAGTGGTTATGTTGCTGGACTCCCACATAGTCGACTACAGTTTGAGTCCTGGACCCGGTGGCTTAAAACTCACACTGCGTGTGCATGCGTGCCCAAAATCCTGAGAGGAGACTGGAGGAGAAGGGATTGCTGCATGGCCAACCCCTCGGGGAGGGGGGTGATTTCTTGTTTTCTGTCTCACTGTCTCTGTCTCTCCAGCGCGTGCACATGCCCTATAGCAAAAATCTCTAAAACGAGACAAAACAAAATAGAAAGACTACCCTTTCCCACACTGAATTGTTTGGACACTCTTACAGAAAAATCAACTGTCTATAAATGTTTTGGTTTATTTCTGGACTCTCAATTTCCACTCCATTGTTCTACGTGTCCACCCTATGTCAGAACCACATAGTCTGCACCTTTGTAAGTTTTGAAATTGGAAAGTTAGTCCTCCAACTCTGTTCCATTTCAAGATGTTTTTGGCTATTCTGCGCCCCCTTGCATTTCTGTATACATTTTAGCATCAGCCTGTCAATTCTTGCAAATAAGGAAATAAGGCATTTGAATTTTTTTCGTTTTTTAAAGAATTATTTTATTTAGCTTTATTTATTTATGTATTTATTTTAATTTGAGCAGAGAGGGAGAGAGAGAGATAGATAGATAGGGGGAGAGGGAGAGAGAGAGAAAGTGAGAAAGCAAGCCGCCAGGTCCAGGACTCGAACCACAGTCGACCATGTGGGAGTCCAGCGTCCTTAACCACCACGCCACCTGCCAGCCCCAGGCATTTACAAAATTTTGATAGAGATGGTGTTGAACTGCCAGTTACGTATCTGTAACAGCGATCTCTTCTTGTCCCCCCTCATTCTAAGAAGACCAGTCCAAACTCCGCAGCACACTGCCTGAACCGGGGTCTTTTCCTGCCCCCTCCCCACTTCTGTCACCCAAAGTCCCAACTTTCCCAGGCTAGGCTGGGTGCTCCCCGAAGTTAAGGCTCATGTCTCGACAAGACCCAGTAGTGGGTCAAAGAGTGTCTGATGGGACCAATAGATGGCATACTGGGACATATGAGTTCCGGGGCCAGGGCTTCAAGCTCACGCTGGGCGCCTGTGCGTGCCCGTCCCAAATCCGGAGGGGAGACTGGAGAAGGGACTGCAGTGTGACCCTCCCCCTGGGGGGTGATTTCTTATTTTCTGTCTCTCTGGCAAGCACAAGAGCCCTATAGCCGAAATCTCTCTAAAAAAACTCCAAACTGGTGAATTTAGTGGCATAGCTCATCTCTAGGCTCTTATAAATAACTTCGCGAGGACCGAGAATTCACACTGCCCGACATCCTTCCCTGCCTTCGGGGCGCTCTCAGCAGGGTCCCCGCGCTTCCCTCGAGCTCCGAGCTCCTGTCAGCCGGGACCACTGGCA